CCATGATTGGTTATGGCCATCTGCCAAACTCAAAGCTAGTCCCTCAAATTCTTTGAGAATTTTGGCTTCTGCATCTTTATTGTTAATTCAAGCCCAACCCTGGCTTGAAAGGTTACACAGGGACACTCGGTACTATCTAGCTTTGTTTTCTGAAAATGGGCTATGTGTGGAATTCAGAAAAGTTTACCTCCAATAACATCTTACTGGACTTTGTGTATTCAATATTTTCCCTAATTTTACTTAATATCTTATCTTCTAGTACACCGATGTCCACAGTCATATAGTCTATCAGTCCCTCTTAGTTTCTTTTCTGTGTAGCCTGTAAAGGATTACCATGTTCATCCCTTATAAGAGCTTCAAGGTGGGAACTGCATGGGCTGATGTCCATGGTCCTGAACAATCTGTATTTTTTTTTTTAAATTTATATATTAATTGGTACACTTTGGGTATACAATACACTTACGTTTATCATTGGGTGTTCGTACCTGAACATGATGTATCTTAGTTCTTATTTTTTTCCCCATTACCTGTGCACCCTTCACCCCCACCACCCTTCCCTATTTACAGAGACTTTGTTTCCATTTTTTTCTTTCACATAATTTTTCCTTTCCTTTCTTCCCTTTCCCCTTCCCCTCCCGCCACCCCTCCACCTCTGTACTTTTTCCTATTTCAAATTATCAATTATTCATTTTAATCATTTTTATCCTTATTTACACTTTCAGTTGCTTAGCCATAAAGGATGAGAAACTAGAGTCATTTATAGCTAAATAGATGCATATTGAGGCCATACTCTAAAGTGAAATAAATAGAACTCACATGTGTAAATACCGAATAGTATCTCTAGTGTGAGAAACAATCTGTATTCTGTAAAATTGTGAAGGTCATTTCCTTTTTTTACTATGCTGTGCCTTACCTTAACTTTATACCCCACCATTTCATCTGCATTCTCATTAACACTAAGTTTTAACCTATCTCATGAGTATTCATAGTTCACAGCCTAACCTGCTCTCGGTCCTACTTTGGGGCTTACAAATATTACTGCAGAAAAAGCACATAAGCTTACTACCTAGCTTCCAGAACTATTTAATTGTTAGCCACAGTTGTCTGGCCATTCTATCTTTCTTTATAAATCTACATCTACATTGTGCTTAACCTTTAAATGTAGGACTTTCCCAAGATCTCTTCCTTGAAAAGTAAATACATTGTTTTCTTTTCTGTTCTGCATTCTCTGGGAAACTCAGTCATGGTTTTAACTGCCATATGTTCAAGATTTTCAAATTGCAATCTATATCACAACTACTTCTTTTATATACAGACATAAATTTCCAACTACATGTCTTATGGACATCTTAAATGCAGTGTTCAAAGCTAAACTTATTATTTCCTTCTTCTCCATCATGCATACTCCTGCTGAACTTTCTGTCTCTGTTAATAACATCATTGTTCATCTAGACAGCAGCATAAGAAATGCCTGCAACCCTCATTACCAGCTTATTATATACTTGCATCCTAATGGGCTTTCCTTTATGCTACTTCCTCTTCTAGGAGTGCTTCTTACCTTAATTTTCCAATATCTAAATAACTTACTTAGTTCATTTGTAAAACTATTACAAATTCCTACTTGTAATTAATAATTTCTTCCTTGATGATTCTATTTGCCTTATTTTCTGGTCTAATACTTTCACTTTACTCTTAGTCATTTCATTTCACTAACTTTTATTAAGCCTAAGTATAATATTAGCCACTATAATATACATGAAAGAAGAAAGAAAAAATAGGAGTAAGTCTTTGTTTCTGGCCTGAAGGAGTTTGTTTCTCATATCTAGAATATAGTAGCTTTACCATGATGAGAATCTATATGTTGAATTCAAATGATTGGGTTAAAAATCTTGATGTACAAAACATCAAGATTAAAAAAATCTTGAAACAAATATAGTTAAGAAGCTACCATGAATGGAAGGTCTTTTAGACTGGCAGACATAAGATATCAAAGCTATGCGAAAAAAAAATTACCTTCCTGGTAGAGTTAGCATGGATATGATTGCAAGAAGATTATGTTTTCCTATAATTCTTTATAAAATTACTCCATATTTGGAGAAAATGACTTTGGGTCCTCAAAGACCACTTTGTTTTATTTCTAAGGCTTTTGTTGGAAAAAATGAACATTTTTTCTCATTTTATATTATATATTTAAGTAGAAACTATGACTAGTGATTCATTTGAGGATAATAACAGAATATGCTTCAGACAAAATTTGTAAAGATAGAAAATTTACTGGTAATTGTAAAGAAAATTCAAAACTTTTTGGGTCATATGAAGGTTTGACAGCCCCCCAAAGTGCCTATATTGTTAATTTAACTAAGACAAGGACTCTACAAAAGAGTGTTTATGTATCGGTAACTATAGGTACAATGCATGAATGAAAAGACAAGAATCACTGATATTCATCTAGTCCTAAAGATAAGCATCAGGCAAAAGGACTATTTTGATGACAACATTTAGAAAATGCAGGTGCAATAACCATTCTTGCTAGATCCTTGGCAACAAAGTATAAGATGGGGAAGGAAACTTCTTCCCACTTCCTCATGGTACCAAGTGATAGTGCTGACCCCATGAAAAGGCACGTATGAGGATGGCAGTGAATAGTATTCTTGGCAGAGTTACTGTGCTGCCTGGAGACTAAGAATATAGATGAGGAATCAGAAAAGGTGAAGAAAAATATGAAAGGCACATGTGGTGGCTATAAACTGATGAGGGAACTTTTCCCTGAGGACCTCAAACATCATAGTAGGCTTCAGCTCTGGACAAGGAAGTGAGGAAAAGAGACAGTAAAATTTAGGCTGTTATCATTAACGTGAACTTTTCTGTACTTGTGAAATTTAGCTTATCACTGTATGGCAAGGGAGAAGACTTGATATGACATGCTAATTCCCATGGCTGAGTTTCCTTCTTGGACTTATGTCATACTGGGATTGGTAGTTGTAAATGGATTGTTGCAGACACAGTAGTGGGAGGGATTTCTGACTTAAAATGGAGAAGAAAACAATGATGAGTACACCTTTAATTAGGGCTGAGTCTTGGTAATTCCAGGAGTATATTCTATTTGTGGGTCATGTGGATCCCTTGCCTTTAACTTGCAAACCATTTCACCACTTGAAAATACTTTATATCTTCAATCAGTAGAATATAGAAAGGCTGTGGCATTAAAAGTATTTCAGCTCACTCTCATCAATTTTCACTGGAAGTGGAAAACACAAAATCCATTTGTAAGCTTATATTTTCTATATGAACAGCAGCTTTTTCCATTGGAAAGTTTACTGTAACAGATAAATGAAAAAAATAGTTTTGGGGATTTTCTGTTACTTTATTTTTCTCTACTATCATCTTACTCAGAAACCATCATAAAGTGAGCAATAATAACTCTATTTGATTTTGGATAAGCTAGCAAGATCTCCTTCCTGGGAGGGTGGTAGTTGATTGTACCTTCTAATTCCAACAGAGGGCCAGTCATTTTGGTAACCATTGGCTACACTTTAAAAAAGATTCATCCAGGGGCAACCCACTTTCTGGGCCCTCTTTTATCTCTCTTAGACAGATCTTTTGCTCAATAAATTCTTCCTACTCTTAAAAAAAAAAACTATCCAGAAGAACCAGTATTACAAACTTTTCTGTATTCAGTAGTGAAGGTGGGGACAGCACACAATAAATTCAACACTGTGATGCTGGAGCCATGACTGGAATGCACTGCTGTCCCAGTGTGGCATGTTCTGATGGCAAAGATATAAGCAACCAATTCATCCCCATCTACCTTTGCTTACATCTATCTGGCCACTTTTCAGGGGGCAAATCTATCTCAGTGAACCCCAGCCTGTGATACAGCAAGGTGTTTATCTGCATGGTACAGATGTAGTTTTGTATCGCCAGGTTAGAGGGATGGAGGAAAGTCTGGCAGGATGACAAGAATGAATAAACACCCCAAGTTTCAGCTGCTATCTGAAACTTCTTAGTTCCAGTAAGCATCTAGGGAGGCCAAGTGCAATAACTAATCTGACATATTTATCTGGTGGAAATTCCCAAGCTAGAGCAAATTGGGAAGAAGGAGGACCAGAGCAAGAAGGAAACAGTACAGAGAAGTTAATCAAAAAAGTATCTAGATAAACATCTAAGTTTGAAGAATGATAAAAAAGCAATGTACTGAATTCTATTTTGGGCCATTATGTCGGGCAAATTTACACAAGATACAGTAAAAAGAAATTGGCCTATAAAAGATCAATGACAATTTGTAATAAAATTGGATACCAAACAGAGTCACAGCTGTCACTGAACTTTGCTTTAGTCTATTGATGTCTCTTTAGTGTATTGATGCACCATGTTTTAAGAAAGACTGATAAATACTGTTGATCTTCAATTTATTTACCTGGTTACATTAACACCATCATCATGGAGTTGAGAAAATTACCTCTTCAAATCTGATTCACATGCAAACTGAATGAACCACATAATGACTGGCTTAGTCACTATTTTGAAACCTGTGGAAAACTAAATGCCTATAAGTTTCTTTAGAAACAGTGCTGTGTTCTGAGTCACAGGACAACTATTCCAGAGGCAAAGTCTAAACATTAATAAGCAGGTGCTTGGACAGGGTGCAGAAAAAGCACCTGTGACAAGCTTTTAAGACCAATTTTAAGTTTTTGGATCAAAATATATTTTGGAAATGCTTATGTTGGTTCATTAAATAGTAAATCAGGTTCCCATCTCAGTCCTTTTTTGTCATTTCTTTGAATGCATAAGGAAAACTTTTAGGGCTGAGCACTCCTCAGCAGTGTGGAAACATTTTGCTTATGAGTAAAAACTAATCACTCAAAGGAAGAAGGTAAGATTCTCATTACTGGTGGTGTAAATATATTGTTGATTTACATATTCAACTATGTTGTTCCTGTCTGCTATTGCAGGCATAGTTAAGTTCACTCTGAATCTCAAGAAAAATGTAGTTGGGCAGTGATCATGCCCAGAGGTCTGAAATCTCCCATGGTCATTTCTTTGGAGGGATTCCTCTTCTGGTGAGGGATCCTTATCACCACCAGCAAATCTGCTCAGTTTTAGGTGCTGCAAGAGGAAACACTGTGACTCCAGGCCTCTGCCATCAGGTATGTCTGTCATTTCTTCTATATTTATTTTGGATCCTATTAATTATTGTTTATCCTTGGCTTAGAATTCCAGCCCGTCCTCCATCAAAGTTAGCGCTCAGGATTGGATCGATTATGAGTTATATAAAATGTGCTGAGACATTATTTCTGAAGAATTATACTTCTTTATTTTCTTTTGACTCTTAAAAATTAAGAAATATAAATGGATATATTCATACAAAGGCACATTCAATATGTGTGTTAAATTAAATAGACAGAACATTTCAAGAATCCCTCCTTTGCTATTCCTTCACCAAGAAAACCTCCCTTTCCGTTAGAGGGAACAAAGACAGTCACTTCCTTGACCTGTGTGTCCACCCTCAGAAACATCCTGAAAAACACACTTTGCTTGGTTTGATCTTTTCATGAGGAGTCACACTGTGTGCATTCTTTTCTGGCTTCTAAATCCAACATATTTGGATTCTAAACTTCACCTTTGTCAGTGACAGGAGAATGCATATCTCTGTTATGGAGATTTCAGGCATCAGTAAGCAGATGGTGGCATATTTGGGGGTTAGAAATACCTTTGTGGTGAGATTGGAATAACTGCATCCCAGAGGGGAGCACAGCTTGGAAATACATTATATGAGCAAAGAGCTTGTAAGAAGCTCTGAGAACTGTATCTGAAGGGAAGAGATGGATCTCCATGAACACACAACCCAGGTCTGAGGGAGTCCTGTGATGCTAAAGCCTAGAAAGTTTCAAGCCAACTGGAGGAATTGGTAACCCTAGTCCTTCCCTCCACACATCACCCTCCATGCAATTTAGCCACCTCTTCTCCCTGCCCTGCCGGGGGCTCTGAAAGTTCCTTCCCAACTGCCCAATCCTCCCTGTGATTCAATCCTTACATAGATGCCAATGCATTATTTTCCTGAGAGAGAAGGAACTCTCTGCTGTGATATTAGTGGTAAATCTTCAGATTTGGGGGATTTTTTACTATATAGAAGTGGTTAAAGTGCATAAGCTTCTTATGTTGTATGGTAATAATATATATTACATCATAACAAGGACAGAATGGTGGTGGAGAGGAGGTAGGAAGGGGCAACAAATTATTGGGGGCCTAGTCTATAAGAAATACCATGTTCTTGATTTTACATGTAATTAAAATTGATCTAAATTCTTATTTTATAGATGAGAAAAAAGAGAGCATGGAAAAATTAACTTACTTATTTAAGATCACACAACTGATAGAGTTGCCAAGACCCTAGGCTTAGTAATTTATTTGTTCTTTTACTTGTAGATTACATGTGACCTAAGTAATGAGGGGTCCAGATGAGCTCACAAAACTTACCACACAAGACAGTAGTCTCAGGGCTTGAAGTGTATCTCAGTGGTAGAGTTCTTAGCTAGCATGAGTGAGACCGTGGGTTTGACATATGGCTTAAAAAATAATTAACCTCTGCACACTCCTCTTCCCCCCTCTGCTTCCCACTTAACAGGAATAACAACACTCAACTACTTTTACTGCTACTTCTTTTTTTTTCCTGCTTAGTGAAACTATCTAATACACACATTTATTATTCCTAAAATAATAATAACCAAAATAGATGCAAAAGTAATACACACAAATGATAACTCACATTCCCTAGGAACTTTAGCTATATTCAGGATGATAGTTTCCAAAAGCAACAACTAATATTGTATTTTTCTCCAAATATCTAAATAACTTGCTAATGTTGCTTTTTTCACATTTTGCTTTGGAGACTCTCTGTAGATTTTTTTTTCCAAAAAAAAAAAAAATGATGTACCTCTTGAATAGACTTTTCCCCACTAGCATCTTTACAATTTCTTCCTCATCTCCCTAGAGAAATATGCTATGTTTTATTTACCTTAATATTTAATATTTAAATCATTATAACAAAGAGAACTTTGTCCACCACTGATCTGTAAAGTATGCTATAATATGTCTTGCAGTACAGTTTTTGTTTTCTCTGCAATTAATAATGATAACTTTTTTATGTGTGATTTTTCATTTTTCTTATCACTAATTTATTTGTTTTCTGAGGGAAGTAGCTATCTATTCCTACATGTTCAAAACATTCAAACATATCTGTCTCTCTGAGATGATAGTCACCATACAGTTTCACATAAAAAAGATATTCAACTTAGCATTAAATTATACAATTAAAATGAAGGCAGTCTAAGCAAACGCTTATAGGAACAAAGTGTAAAGTAAAGCCAGAAACACTAAATAGAATAAAATTCTACTCCTTCTAAATAGGTCAGTGTACCTACTTTCCACAAATATGATATTTCCTACTTCCCAAGGCAGAAATCATGCTAGTGATTGCACACACACACACACACACACACACACACACACAGAAAATATAATTGATCTGAATTCTTATTTTATGGTTGGGAAATTGCACACTCTGTCATTCAGAACTTTGTTTTCTTCAAATCTCTAGCATTGTGCTGACCCTCCATAATAATGAAATTACAGGTGTTAGAATATGATTCCTTGGAAGAGGAGCTCTGTTGTATTGTTAGATACCAAAATTAGTGCACAGTGGTAATTGAACAAACAGAAGTAACATAAATCAGTGAAAGAATTTCTACGTGTGAAAAATGGCAGTTATGCCACAATACAGGGATATTTACATATATTATACAAAAATACCATGTGATATTAATTAACATTTCAATTGTCAAATTTAATTCATTAAAAATATCTATTTTGACTGCTCTGCTTTAGAGCACTACAAACCTCTTTTGGTTTATTCTATAAAGACCTGAACATAATCTTATCGTAATGGCATTATTTAAAACTATCATGGTCATCACAAAAGAAGAGAGGGAGTGTCTGAGTCAGAGGCTTTATATTTCAGAGTAATGCAGGGAACTCTTTCAGACTCACCCAACCAGCTGCCAACTTCCTCTATGAAGACAGTAAGGTAAATATTTTGAAAGACTAAACCATCATGAAAGAGAGAGAGAGAGAGAGAGGAGAGAGAGAGAGGGGAGAGAGAGAGAGAGAGAGAGAGAGAGAGAGAGAGAGAGAGAGAACTGTATAAATCTTGGCTATTTCTCCATATCTGAAAAATTATACTCATCCAATTATCAGCATCATCTCATCCTATTCTCCTCTTTACAGGACTGACTTTAAGAATATCATACAGCATGGTGCTCGGGATGAGCTACCAATCAAAACTTTATGTTCTATCACCAAGTAGATAAATAGAGAATAATACACAAACATTCCCAGTATTCTTATTTAAGGCACTGTATGTTGGGATATACTAATTTTTGAGAATAGCACTGAACTGTTTTCATAGCTTAGTGGGGCACTCAGCTAAGGATAGATTTATCAAAGTTTGAAATTATGTTTTAAAAAGAAATGGAAAGATTTAACAATACTTCTGTAGAGTAGCAACTATCTTTATAGCATCACATTTGATGATTGACAAAAATTAAAATTAAGCATGTTGCATAGTTATTCATTCTCTTCTAATTTAGTAAATGTTTTTTTTAGTAATGCACCATAAAATATGATTTTCTTTGTACAGTCAAAATGATCCCAAGTAGATAATACTTTATTAAGTTTTTAAGACATAGAATTTATCAATAGATACAGTACATGCATGCCCATGAAATATTATCATTATAATTTCATGTTTCATTGAATATGTTTTGTGCCTGGTTTTTCCTTGTACTTTATTTTAAAAGTTATTTGTCTTAACTTTTTACTAGACCACAATAGCAAAGCTTTGGTGAAAATATCTCCATTTTTTTGTTGTTTTGATACAATAGTATGTTGACTATAAGAAAGAAAGGGTTAAAATAACCCTTCGATTGAAATATGCTATAAGTAATCAGATAAGCTTCAGGCTACCCTACCATGGGCTTTCAGGTTCTTAACACTAAAGCTGGGACTCAAGGACTTTCATGAGAATTTGCTAATTGGTATTAATTGAAAATTATGAATTAATTGCTCCTTGTACGTTAAAATTTAAGAAACATCATGAAAGTGTGATATATTTTGGTAAGGTAAAAAATTACACTATGAAAATCAATTTCTTTTATGATTTGAAAAGAATTTTTCATTAGCATTCTACCTGGACAGTGGCATACTAGGTATTATCACACTGGCATCTTCTGTAGTTTTAATTTGCATTTATTTTTCCACTGGGATCCAAGTCTTTTGGTTATCTGGTGGTTTTTTAAATTTACATTATTTTTGTTGGAGTTTTATCTATATTTTTAAGTTGCTGTGAAAATAAATATATGTGAAAGAAAAAAAATCACAGTTTTGGTTCCATGCTAACTTTTCTCATCTGTCTCTTTATGACACATTGGGGCATAGAATAACTAATTCAGTCTTAAATAAAGCTCTCCATTTGCCAGTGGGTTCAGACTTTATAACAGGTAAGAAATGAAGAATCTTACTTTCATTCCTAGAAAATACAATGCATCTACACAGAGAAAGATAATAAAAACAATTATGCTAAGTGGATCATATTTTTGGAATTTATTTTCAACATAAGTGAACATGCCTATACGAAGATATTTAAGTACATAAAATTTAGTACCATTTATCATTCTAACAGTGAAGGCTTTAGAATTTATATTTGTCTCAGAATGACTTGGCTCATGTTTTTATATGATAATTTTACCTAGTATGATTTATCTGCCACAAAATTTATCTTAAGTAAAAAAAAATGTACTTCATTTCCCAAATGAACAAATTTTGGTATAGCTTTTCTTTAATCAATATGATAGTTTTGTGGAAAGTTATTAGGATAACTGAAATTTAGAAAATGAAAATTTGTGAATATTATGTAGAAAATAATTAAAGAATAATGTTAAACAAAGTGCCACCAAAGTGATAAAATAGAAAGACACAAGTTTTAAAGCAATAGGAAGAACTGAGGCTTTACCAAAAAAATGTGTTACCATGAAGCATGTTTTTGCACTTTGAGATGTAATACCATAAGGTAGCTTCCAGATCCCCGTTGAACTATACAAAAAGGTCCCCAGAGTAACTTAAAAATCTTTCCAGTCTTATTTTAAAGGCTCTAGCCCACATAATATCAATGTGTTAAAATAGACTTTCAATCTACTCAATACAATTTCTATTATAAATATTTGGAAAAGATTTTTATAGTTATGCCTTTCAAGTTACCTTCTAAGACTGGTTCATTTCATTTAGCACCATCTGTTATTTTCAACAATAAATATGAAGTCTTGCAAATCTTTTTGAAGGGAGATTTCTTTTCCACGTGGCTCCTCTCCACATCAGATACCTGGTAGTATGGTACACTCTTTTTACAGGGTGAAAGCAAGGGGAAGGTATGATTTTTCTCCTCACCATTCCTATGCCAGATCTTGTGAAAAGATCATCTTTCTGAATGACCTGAACCTTAGAAACTCAGAGAAATTAAAGACAACACAGATCACACAACTATTAGCAACAATGTTGGGATTACATTTGGGCCTAATAGGGTTTATGACTCTTGGAACTTGTCACATGGTAAGATGTAAACATAATATCATGAAATGTTCAAAGAGAATAATTTGGAGCACTCATACAAGTTTGTTTAGTCTGAGGCAATCCTACTTCTCATATTGGTTCACTTTGTGGACAAAGTCTGCAAAGAAATGCCAACTTAGGTCTCTGAAGAATTCCATGATGGCGGGGCCCCTCTGAATTTCAGACCCAACACTGTGAATGATTCAAAGATAACCTTATTTTCATCTAAAACTTTAAATTTGCTACTGCAGTCTAGATTTTCTAGCAAGTGATAGATGTGTGTTAGAAAATCTTGTGTACGTTCATAATACATACTGTGATAACCATATTTTCCATTTTAAAAATTCAGAATATGATCATCTTAGAAGTGTAAATATATATATGGGAATAAAAGTTGAACTATATTTGAAATTAGTATGGTCTTTTAAAAGTTCAGAATAAAGGATTGCTTTAAGAATTAAAATGTATTATGTACATGTATCAGCGTCCCACAAGGAATGTGATCATTAAGTACTACAAATATTTACTAATAAAAAAATAAAAATTGAGAGCAAGGCATGGTGACATATGCATGTAATCTCAGCATTTGGGAGGCTGAGACTGAAGAATCACCATGAGTTCAGCCTAGGGTGCATAGTGAGTTCAAGGCCAGTCTGAACTACACAACAAGACCCTGTTTCAAACAACACCAACAAACAAAAAAATTTGAAGAGAGAAATAAGATCCCTTTTGATGTACAAAATAAAAACATTGAGTTCAAGGCCAGTCTGAACTACACAACAAGACCCTGTTTCAAACACCAACAAACAAAAAAATTTGAAGAGAGAAATAAGATCCCTTTTGATGTACAAAATAAAAACATTGTGTATGAAAGTCATAATGGACAAAAATGGTAAAGAAGTAATGTTTTAAACCTCAAACTTTCATTAAATTACAGATGGTTTAGAAAGCAAAGGCTATATAGACACCCTGACTGCCTAGTGTTAGAATAGTCACTGTAAATAGTGTTTTTGCTCTGTATCAGTTTAGATCTCTGGGTTGATTTGAGAAATAGTAAACCCAATGTGTCTGCTTGGGATTTGAAAAGAGGCCTCTCAAAGGCCACTGAGGACAGAAATCCCCCATCCAGAGGAATGTGCCCTGGATAAGAATAGGAGAGAAAGGAAATCCTTGTGCTGAAGAATATCAATGTGAAATGAGTGTGTCATCGTAGGCTTGCTAGGAAAGATAATTGTAGAATGTTAATAATGAATATGATGGGCCAAAGGGATTTTTTCTTTCTATTTCAAATTATTTGATAATTGCATTCAAACCTGAAGAAATGAAGATTTAAATTTTTAAAAATGCGTATAGAACTTGAATTAGTCATAGGAAATGTGCTAATTCAATGTTCCATTGTCTCCTAGGCTCCACTCTGCTTCACAATGGCCTCCCTTGCTGCAGCAAATGCAGAATTTGGCTTCAACCTGCTCAGAGAGATGGATAACAGTCAAGGGAATGAAAATGTATTCTTGTCCTTTCTGAGTATCTTCACTGCCCTGAGTCTTGTCCGCTTGGGTGCTCGAGGTGACTGTGCAAATCAAATTGATAAGGTCGGTTTTAGTTTTTGCATCAAATCATCAGGCAAATTGTTTGTCCCAAGAAAATGTGCCAGTGCAATGATTCCTATGTCAATAGAGGGCTCTGGGAAGGCACAGGGTATGATCTCTTCCCGTGTCTTCAGAAATCCCTCTCCAGAAAGAAAGCACACAGCTTGAGGCACTTATTTGTTTTTTGTGCTGGGATGGAATTCAAAGCCTCACATATGTTAGGCAAGGGCTCTACCACTCAGCTACTCCACCAGCCAGCCTTTGATTTTGATTTAGGAAGCAACAAGAAATGATTCTGATTCTTTTCCTTAATCTTCTGGTTCTCAAAGCGTGTTTCCTAGTCCAGTAACATTACCCGGAGAACTTAAGAGAAATGGAAATGTTGGACCCCACCCAAGGTCTCCTGATCAGAAACTATAGATGTGGGGCTGGCCATATGGATTTTAAAAAGCTCTCAAGGTACACACTAAACTTTGAGAACCACTACTTGAGTATATAAATATGAGATAGGGGAGCTAGAAGGAGACACCAATGATGTGCTAGTTTAGACATTGGTTACCTAGATACAAATGACAGAAGAGTACAAACCAAATAATAGAAACCTACCTGAATAGTCATCACCACCACCTCCTTTTCCACCACCTTCAGAAAGTGCCTATGAAGGCACCCTTACACATAGTCCCTTTCACACAATTATGTCCTATGCCATACAAGGAAGTGAGATGGCCAAGGTCTCTCTCCCTTTTCTCAGGAAATTATAGATGTTCAGAAGCTCATGAGCAGGTGAAATACCAGGTCCAGATTGCATGCAGAGGACTTGAAGTCATTCTTGTTTCTGCTGCTTGAAGTCATTCCATGTTCTGCTGATTTCAGTTCTAGAGGAAGCTAGTTTGTGTTATAATCTGTCATACCTTAGTACTTGTTGAAAATCGTTTCTGTAGGTAATTTAAACTTGCAAGATTCTTCTCTTTGTCTGATTATCTCAATAAGTCTTTTGCTGGGAGCTACTATTAAGTCTAGTACTGCCATTTGGTTTAAAGGTAGAGGCTTATGACTCAGTCCACAGAGCAGCTCACTTTAAGGGGATGGCACTAACACTAACACAGCTCAGAATGACATCAGTACCAGGCTCTGGAATAAACCCTACAAACACAATCTTATTTGACACTCCTAATAATACTCCAAAGTGGCATTATCACTTTGACTTTATGGAGGGGTTGTTGGCATGCCAACTGTGTGCCAACAGATGCTGTACTTGTAATTTAAACTCAGCATGATCTTCTAAAGCAGAGTTTGTCAACCATGGCACTACCGACATTTGGGCTGGGCAATTCTTTGTTGTGAGGGCCTACGCTGTGCATCACAGCAAGGGAGTTTAGCAGCATCTCTGGCCTTTCCCCTCTGAATGCCAGCAGTGCTCTCCCATCCACATTCATGATGAACAAAAATATCTCTGGAAGTTTTGTCTACTCAAAATCAATCTCCAGTTGAAAACAACTATCCCAAAGCCATCATACTGAAATGCAACTCAGAGTGCTTTATTATGAAGCTTTAAAGTCAGTATGTTTCTAAATAAATATAAATGTTTTGAAAAAAGCCAGCAGCTAGTAAAGATGTACCCATCCATGGATAAAATATATAATGTTTAAGAACAAAGTAAAAGAGGAATCAATCTATGTCATGTACAGGTACAAACCCCCTTTGATGAATGTGATTGTTATGCATATTTACATTGTACAAACAAAATTAATTAATAACCCCCCCCCAAAATAACAAAAGAACTTGATGAGGGACTGGGGTTGTAGCTCATCAGTGCCTCTCCTGCCTGGCAAGCGCAAGGCCCAGAGTTCAATTCCCAGTATTGAAAAACATAAATTAAAAAAATAAATAAAATAATGTAATGAGAAGCAAGCTAGAAAATCAAATCAACAATTTTTAAAAATTGTGCCTACAATTTTGTAATTATAACTGCAAATCTAAGTTCATAGACCTCATTATCACATTGTTATAAGCAGGTGAGGTGGACGGTTGCCAGAGAAAGGCATGTGAATTGATTGAGAAAGAGGGTTCTTATGTTGTATTCCATATGAAGAGTCAGTTGCTTCAAATGTAAATCAAATTTAGAAGGAAATAATCAATTCAAGTCATTTGAACATAATTTCTCCACCATCACATACAGCTCCTTTGTGCCCCAACTTGGTTCAAGTTGCTATACAAGTTAAAGAAAAATACTCAAGAGAGATGGAAACGTACGCCCTCCCCAAGATATGAATGCAAATGTTAAGAGTAGCATTAGTTACAAAAGCCAAAAAAGGAAACAATCCAAATAGCAACCAAATAGTAAAGTGATAAACAATACATGCTATACTTATACACTATAATGCCATTTGACAATAAAAGGTTGCATATAATTTGTGGTATTTGTTTCTCAAAGATTACAATTACTGAAGTAGGTTAATGTGGGGTTTTATTGTGGGAAAGTTTTGCAGAATAAATTCATCATCTCAAATGCATGTGTAACTCAAAAAAAAAAAAAAAAGGAAAAGAACAAAGTGAAGTAACTTGCTGTCAGGGAAACACACTGGGTCTGGTAGTTAGAAGATTGGGTCCAAATTTTGGCCTTAGGAAAATTATTATTTTATCGCTGTGGGCCTTTGGGTTCTCATCTGCACATTGAAGAGGTCATTTTGACAATATTCAAGTAGAAAAGGAAAAAAAATAAGCTTCAAAGTTATTGCTGTTTACTATGTCAGCAATGATGAGCAGGGTCCACCCCACCACAGAAGTGCACCTTTCAACAACAGCAGAGCCACCCAGGTCTTACCATGTGAGCTCATGCCAGGGGCATCTTGAAGGTAGCATGGTGAAATTTCAGAAGTTTCCTTGATGTACACAATGCCTGGTACCTCCTGAGTCAATAGTTCAAGGGAGGTAGGTCAACGAGATTTAAAAGAGCTGCTGTCCTGCTAGAGTTGCTCTTTAATATTCACCGTCCTATCAATTACTTCCATGTGTGGTTCCATAACTCTTATTATAACTTCCTATAAGGAGCTTAAGAGAAAAAAATGTCAAAACCATAAAACTACTCCCATAATTTATTTATACGAAGTTTCAGTCTTTTGCAAAGTGCCCTTTTGGAAATTAAATTTCAGCTTCATCCGTGCCTTAATTAGTTATTCTTCCCCCCCCCATTAACTTTATTGGTACATTTTAGGTATACAATACAGTTACATTCATCATTGGGATCTTGTACCATTACATGAGTATCTTGGTTCT